TTTATAACTGTATTTGCAATGAAATAGGTAACAAATACTATTTAAATAATCTTCAGCAATTTTCGGATTGCCACTGCCATCTGCAGACCTGGAGACACCGTATTCTTTCAGCTATTCATACATAGGTACCTATGCTTTCTACATAACCATAAGAATTTCAAAACAATTTTGGAATATAAGTTTGGATGCCGAGATTCTTAGTTTCCAGGTAAACTGTTTATTCATGAAATCATAAACTACATAAGAAACTGGCGAAAGTTTGGTGAAGGGGAAACAGAATTCAAGAACAAACTCTCTGAAAAACACCAAGGATGAATGGGTTCCTTTTTTTCCTCAAAATTGCCAAAGTGCTGTTTTTTTAAAAAATTTATTTTATTGAAAGCACATTTCTGTGTGGTGTTCATACAACTGTAGAAAAGAGAAGAACTGGGAACAAAATGTTGACATTCAAATGGCTGATAATTTATTCAAAATATTTTCAAATCAGAGACAGAAAAAAACCTAAATCAGATCTTCATTAAAAATACATTTCATCTATCTGTTGCATGCAACTTGTATGATTTACATCTGAAAAACGAAACTGTCAGCAGCATCTATGAATTATTCAAATTTATGTACCCAAGTATGTGGATGAAATTTGATAAAATAGAAGTGATTTGACTGTGCAGCACATCAGTTCTGTTAAGTGGAGGCAGAGAACCTTTGTTTTCACATGACAATCCAGTACTCTCCTGTCAGAGACATTCCCTGTCCTCAAATTCTGCTGCATAAGAGAAGCCAACACAGATCACACATGCAAATCTTTCACCATAGTGAAAACTTGTATTTGGCATGAATGACGGAGAGGTTGACAGAAATAGGAAACAACATTAATTTACAAACATTTTTGTTTAAGCACTTCGGCATTATCTCCTGTCTCACGAAGGCAGCAGACACCCAGAAAAGGCCATCTATCCATAGAGTAAGTACTTCACGAATAAAAGGTATGGAAATAACAGTATCTAAGAGATTAAGTCATGGACCAAATCTCTATTAGGCTAGATCTGTATAAACGAACAATAGCAAGACTTAATATGAAAAACAAGCAGGCTATCTATATGTGCAAGAACATGGGTGGAAATGTAACACTACTGTATTTTTCTAGGATGCTTTATAAGTTAAGGTTTTTATCCTAAGTCCTAAAGAGATGCCAGGGAAGAAGCATCAAAGAAAAATTAGCATAGGCAAGTAATGAAAATGGAACGAACTCTTTACTCCACAGCTAAAACTGCAAAGCAAGATCAGACTGTGGGGGGACCAACAAAATATGAGAGTTCGGTCAGAAGTTAGATGTAGTCTATCTAGCAGCACAGTGATAAACCAGTGTCCTGGTTTCAGCTGGGATGTAGTTAACTGTCTTCCTAGTAGCTGGTACAGTGCTATGTTTTGAGTTCAGTATGTGAAGAATGTAGATAACACTGATGTTTTCAGTTGTTGCTAAGTAATGTTTAGACTAAGTCAAGGTTTTTTCAGCTTCTCACGCCCAGCCAGCGAGAAAGCTTGAGGGGCACAAGAAGTTGGCACAGGACACAGCCAGGGCACCTGACCCAAACTGGCCAACAGGGTATTCCATACCGTGGGACGTCCCATCTACTTTAGGAACTGGGCAGTGGGGGCGGGGAATCTCTGCTCGGGGACTAGCTGGGTGTCGGTCGGCAGGTGGTGAGCAATTGCACTGTGCATCATTTGTACATTCCAATCCTTTTGTTATTGCTGTTGTAATTTTATTAGTGTTATCATTATCATTATTAGTTTCTTCTTTTCTGTTCTATTAAACCATTCTTATCTCAACCCACGGGTTTTGCTTCTTTTCCTGATTTTCTCCCCCATCCCACTGGATGGGGGGGGAGTGAGTGAGCGGCTGCGTGGTGCTTAGTTGCTGGCTGGGGTTAAACCACGACAACGAGATTGTTACAATGCTTTTTTATACTAGTTAATAGATAATAAAAGAAAAAACATCTATAGAGCAGCATTTCTCTGGCATTTGTACCTTCATGCTGAGGCTGCAACCTGAATGCGCTCTAAGTCTCCCAATTATTTGCAGCTTTTAACATCTGAAGGCTAGGCAAGGTTTATCTCTAGCAACTGCTCCTTGCCTACCTAAACCTACAAGAAACTAAATCCCAAATTTCCTTTCCATTACATTTCTAAAAAATGTATTACATATTTCTTTCTATTATGTTACTTTATTGATATGCCATATTCTACTTTTTTCAGTAAAGTTATTTTGCAACTGATTGTTTGGAAGACTTGGTTTTTTTCTCCTGGAATTGATTCCTTGAATTCTTTTAGGTCGCAGTTCATGTCTGGAAGGCCAGCAAAGTCCTGTTGCTTCAGCAGACAAATCTCTGTAGGAGCAGACAAAGCACAGGTATGTAGCAAGTGGGTGCATGGCAGCAGATGTCTGCCTGACCTTCAGTCCCCTGTACTCCAGAAGGAAAGACAGCTACTTCCCAGGTTTTTAATTTGACATAAAGAAAATTCCCAGCTGATGTTAAACTCTGTCTTTGCAACATGAAAGACATCATGAGCATGACTGGCAAAGGCTATAAGCACAGCAGAGCACACTGCTTTCCTCCTGTGCCAAAACCAGCAGAGCTGACCCCAAGGCTCTACTGCAGTTTATTTAATTCTGAGAGTAAGCTTATGGGTGATCAACTATCCAGCCATGTACAATTCTTGACAGCTACTATTTTCAGCAAATACCCTATATGTTTTTTGGTCACTGAGCATTTCATTCTTCTTAGTACAAAGGCTCCAAGTGTGTCAGAGGGCAAACAGTTGATCAAAGAGATCTGGAGCTGGGGGAGGTGATGACATATTTTAGCCTTGTTTGCTCTAGAGTCATCTTAGCACAGTATGGAGCCCACACTTGAGATTTAATTCCCTGGGAGCACATCATGTAGTCTGGTTGAGATTCAGTGCAGCTTGGGCATAGAGCAAGTTAGTGACTGAGGATGCAACCAAGTGCTCAGTGCTGAGACTGGGTCCATGCTCTCACCTTACAGTTGCAGCAGATGGATAACCTGGGAAGCTGTTCCCAAAGGATTTCAGGCAACTAAGCATTTCTAGTCTTTTTCAGATGCCGCCACTAGCTTTCAGCCCAGATGCAGTACCATGCTAGGTCAATCTAACGTGAACACAGCAGCTCCACATTGGGAGAATTACTGTGAATGATGTCTTCTAAAACTTATTTGCATAACTCTATAAAAAGTCAATAGTTCAAAAAAGCGCTATCAGAAACTTATGTACAATTGATTGCATGTCTTACCACTGCCAAAGACATTTTACTTTGAACATAAAAAAGACACCTAATACTATATTGCCCAGAGACAGACTTCAAATGAGGGGTGACAATTTTTTCCAAAACTAACGCTGCAGATGCTAGTTATAGAACTGCAGCCTTCTCTATAAAACTTTAATCTCTTCAATAGAAAATACAAGACACATTCATAAAATCCATTTTTTATTTTGATAAAATCCTTACAAATATCAAAGCACTGGATCAACTCCACTGTTTTCAATACATAAAAAACATGTAAAACTTTTGTTTCTGATATGAAGCAGTAGCCTTATTACTTTCTCTTCTGTGGCAAACAAACTTTATCACCTTCGTGCAATTTGTAAACATTTTGTTCATGTTCTGCAGCTACTTACATGACAGGGAAACATATCAGATCCAACACTAAGTCTAAAAAAGGGTGTGAAAACACTCAACACACTCCTGCTCTCTCCATGCACACTTTCCAGACGTCCTCATTCAGAAAGAACCAACCTGAGGTCTTTTCAGCTGCATTCTCCTCCCTATACCAGAAAAGAAAAAGTGCCTGCAGGTTTTTCCCCTTTGGTTCATACTTGTATCTGCTGCTGCTGCCAAATGCCTTTTATTTTTCCCATGCTCTACTTGTGTTCTTTCCTTCAGAAAACATTCAGAAGGCATGGAGAGGCCTTGCAGCAATAGTAGCTATATTCTGGGGGGGAGAAAACAAAAAAGTCCAGCTATTTTAAACTAAGCTAAAATATCTATGTCTCTATGTCTAATTTACTCAGTTATAAGAAGGTATATAAAGTCAATCCTGATGGTGATTTCCCTCATGTTTGTCTATCTAAGATCAAAAGACCTGTTGAGGTAAAAGGCACACCCTATAAAACCTATAAAAACCCAAATTAATAGAGAGCAGTCATGGAAGATGAGTTGGTCAGAAGTACTACAGAGATTGGTGGTAGTTGCTGCCCATGAAACTTGTAGCTGCCTCTTTCAGGTATCACTGGTTTTCACTATGTAGTTCTCACAGTCTGAGGGTAAATCTAATCCTATACTAAACTATAACCTATGGCAAGTTCATTAAAAATAATAAAAATAAATTTGGCGTAAAACAAACAATTATATTCAGATAACAAAAGCTCCTGAGAGGAACACAGGCTCAAGTCAGTTCATAAAGACAGACATTTCAACACATTGCTATTGAGGGTTGCTCTTTTATTAGATATTAACTTGAATCTGATTTCTTTGGCCTGCTCTAACTGCTATCTTTGGTCTTGGAATATAAGTGCAACCACCCAAGTTCGGCTATGACAGCAGAACATCAGCCAGTACCTAGGAGATGTTACATACCTGAGTAGTGGTGTGCTCCACAGCAAGATGTGAGGTATGCAGCCTGTGTTTCACACTGCAGCATGCAACGCTGTCTAGTATGAAAACAGTCTGGAGCAATAGCTACCCCTGCCTCCTGATTTTAAGTGGTAGGAGTCTGATGCTACATGGATATAGTGTTACAGTCCCTATTGTTCACCAAATGCAACAGACTGGATTTAGGAATGAACAGTTCCCTCTATGCCCTTTCACCTTGCAGTTTTCAGGTTTCAGGACAATTTCATCACTATATGTGGTGGAATTCAGGAATACCCAATCCACCTGACATGATCCTGCAATATACAAAATCCTTACTATTTGCTTTCTTAAAAAAAATAAAAATCAGTACATAATTACTGCTATGAAGCAGTCAGAATAACAGGATGATATAAATATCTGTTTTCCTTAAATGCTATTAGTCATTACTGCTTTTTGTAGGAAGGTAAGCATGGTATAGCAGAAGTTAGCAATGAAATCATATCAGCCTTAAAATATTTTTTTCTTGAGACTTACAGTGTGAAGTCTTATATAGAAGCTAAAAGTTATGTTAGAGACCAGAAGAACCATCCCAGAACATCCTTTACTGCCATTAGTATCAGGGATCCTGTTCAGTAATTTGGTAGCAAATTCTGGACACCTCCTTCACCACATCTGACCCTTATGATTAGCACTGCCCTCTGTACATGCAACACTAACGCCTCAATGCTCCCAAACCAATGCACTCAAACACAGTCAGACCTGTTAACATTGATGAACCTGCAACAGCTCAGGGCATACTTGTCTGTGAGAAATGACTGCATGGTAACCAGTAATAAAACACCACCTACTTGTTAAAACAACTCACAAAAAAAAATTAAAAATCACAAAGTATATTAACTATTAAAATGAATTCAGCCTTTGGTTTCAGAGGGAGACTACTCTGGCTTTACTCCTTTAATTCCTTCTGACTTCTCGTCCCTTTAAAGGCTGGGGAGGCCGGTAGTTTCTCAGCAAGCAGCAGGCGACCTCATCCTCAGCAGTGCTCAAGAGGCTGCGGAATTTGGCGAGCTGCAATCAAGAGACATAAGGTTCAGCAGAAAACCCTCACGCTCATACTAATGAAAAAGCATGTAGTAAATATTAAAGACGCTTGTCACCTTTTTTCTGCCAGGAAGAATGGAACTGTATATTTCTATGGCATGTGGGGAATGGCAATTTCACCATTTCTGTCCTCGCAAATGAAAAACGATGACTACCAAGAAGACCTCCCAAAATACACATCAGAATGAAACTGTGCATAAGGATTATTTGTCTCCTATATTCACACTTTGTCTTCCATAACCTGATCTAACCCAGGGTTTTTTTATATTTTTTAGTTTGATTTTATAGTTTGGAGATTCTGGAATGTTTCATGCCAAAAATTAGATTTCTTTTGTGCACCTATGTATGTCTTCTTGTTCAAAGAGTATATTCAAAATTAACCTGGAATAGTAGGTGTGGTGCTATAGAAAGCTTCCGTAATTAACAGTTTTCATATAGTAAACATGTACTCAAACCAGGAAAGATTCCAAATTCTTCCCTTGTGAAGACACAGAACAGTTATTCATATCTCAGCCTGAGCTTCTCTGCTTAAAACTGATCTTAGCAGAAACCCAGATCAGAGCTCCATGTCTAAACCTCAGGAAATCCAAGTCTGATTTCTGACCTGAAGTTTAGTATTTTGTCTAATTTATAATATTTCTAATATTTACTATTTCTTTATACCACCTTACTTCCCTTCTAGGTTACCAAAGCTAGGACAGCACAAAAATCATTCCATTATAATAGAGCATTTAGTTGTACAGCACATTGCATCTTAATTGCATTAAGAGCAAAAAAAGTCAATACTATCTTACTTCACACCATTCTAAAGCTAACATTTGTAATTCAGGCTCCCCGTGAGTTTCTAAAAACTTGAAATTTGTTTTTAATTTCTTTCAACCTGAAAACCGCACCAAAAGGAGGTAGTAAACTGTAAAACCCTGAAGAAATACAAACTTGAGGAATAAGATTAAATGGCGAAACAGTATCAGTCACGGTGATGACTGCTTGATCACAATGGTGGACATTACTGGAAACAAACACTTTTGGCTACATGCATGCTTGTATGTATAAGAATATAGCACATTTATACTTTAATATGTAAGGTATAGCTACAGTCTGTGAAAAATGACTAGTGAAGAATCAACATATTTGACATTGTTTCTGACATCATGTCCTCTGAACTTGTTACACATGGGTGTTTGTATACAGTATTTCACATTTTAGAATGCATTAATTATAGATTAGCCCAAATAAGAACTTTTTAACCTGAACAATGGCTTGTCTTTGGGAAGTTGATATGTTAACACAAATTTTCAATCCTAGATCCGTACACACTGCAGTGAGTCTTACAAAGCCAGATTGAGGGGAGTAAGAGATACATATGAGAAAAATACACACACTGAGAAAATACATGACTTCAAATCAGTTACAAACAGAATCTGAGGTCTCCTGACTAACAAGCATCCCATTCAGTGAACTGTCTTAACATTTCACGCAAAACTGAAGTCACCATTTCTGCTGAGTATGCAGCCTAGGGTATTGAATTTTCTGAGGTATTCGTAATATTGACCACGAATGAGACAAACACTGTGGTACAAAAATCGTAAGGGTTACAGTATGCCCAGAATATTGATAACATATTGCAGGTGATGTACTTATCAACATCCAATATTGGAAGCTATGATCTGACCCACTTCACTGTCTCTCCAGTGGGAAAAACTCTTTAGACCTAAGATGATCAGCCCACTGGGTGTCACTGTTGCAACATTAATATATAGCATGAAGCTTCATTTAATAAGAAATGTAAGTAGACTCTTTTATGTGGTATCACACTTTTCCTAAGATAGTCTAACATAAACCCCAACTTATTACAATTGTATTTGCTTTTCATTATTCTAGTAAATTCACCAAGTTTTACATATCTGGAATGCAAGAAGAAATTTATTATTCATCTGCCAAATAAAAATGCCAGAGAAGAGGTTTGAGCTGGATATGCAAATAATTGAATTGAATGGAATTCCAGAATTTCTAAGCATCACCAGAACTCTTTTTTCTGTAAGTTCCTTGGGGGTTATTTTTGATTGTTAATTTTTAGAGTATGCACATTCTTTTTTAAAAATGGATAATAAACAGCTGTTACGCAAAGAAAGGCAACAAGAAGTTAGGATTTGATAGACATATTTTGTCCTTTGAAAATTTGATAAGATATGCAATGCCAAGCTCTGCAAAAAATGTATTTTTTGGTCACATTTACAATTTCAAGTCTTACAAAAGTAACGTTTCTAGAGCAGTGAAAAGTCAAAAAATACCTGTTCAGAACAAACACTTATGGGCTCTCTCAGAACAATCCAGATGACACTCTCAAGAAGAGGTGGAACAGTGAGAGAGCCAAAGTAAGTCCAGTAGTCCAGGGACTTGGGAAGCAGACAGCTAGGATCAAAGTTTGTGAATAGTGCTCTTTTACCCTGGAAAGAAAAAAAAAAAAAGCGCTCATTGTGATTCTAGATTAAATATATTTAGAAATTTATTTCTTACATGAAGCTTAAAAAAACCCAAAAACCAAACCAGGGCAATATTACTTAAAAGCAAGAGGCCAAGATAAATCATGCCAAAGGAGGTACAGCTTGTTCCACTATCGGGCAGGCTGGCAGCATCCTGGATGATCACAGCAGGTGAGCCAGTGCCCTTCTGATGAGGTCCTACCTCTGCGGCAGCTTTGCTGCTGCTATCCTTGATGCCAGCAGGACACCATCAAAGGTGTGTTAGCATAGGCTCCCCATAGTTAAAGATGAGATGGAAGTTGAAGAGAGAGGTGAGAAGTTGGACTTTCAACATGGTCTCTATGAGGCTGGCAGAGTAACCCCACAGGTTACTGCCACCTGCTCCCCTCCCCATTCACTCCTCCCAGGCCCACCAGTTACTACTTCTTCTCCCTGTTCCGGCTACCAGGCCAGAGATGCCTGTATGAAACATGATGTTGTAAGGCTGGCTGATTTCTCTCACACAAACAATACCCTATTTCTCACCCTATAGCTCAGCAAAACAGGGGAGGAAACCTTTCCCTCATCTTTTTCACAACTTTCCACAAAGCATGTTCTTCCCCTGTTACTATTCTCATAGCAACAGATTTGTCAGAGACTAGGTTCTGCGAGGAATTGGCCTTTTCCTCTGATCTCCTATTGTATACAAATTATTCTTTCTCTGCTTAGTTTTCAACTTCACCTAACAAGAATGCTCCTAAACTGTCCCAAATCAGAGTTAGGTATGGATAGCTATGAAACTAGGGACTAGGAAACTTGAAGGTGAAGGGAGTAGCAGCCAGATTACAAAAAAAACCCCAAAAAACCAAAACAACAAAAGCAACCACCAATATTAGTATTCTTTTAGAAGCATCACCTTGATTCTGATGGTGTCCAAGCGGTCAGTAATCTTCTTCAGCTGAGGGTTGCATTCACCAATCTATTAACACCAGAGAAAAAAGAAATACCTGAGCTCCAGAGAAAAACAGCAAAAATAAAAAATCTAAAAGCAAAAGCATAATGAAACTGTTTTATATAACTTTACTTAAGTGACTGTGAGATCTGATGGATTTTGTGAGTACGAGCCTGTGACAGCTGGTCCTTAGAAATAGTACTCATTGTAAAGAAGATCCACTCCCTCGCTGACAGTATTTATTCTGGCTACTCACAGTAATTATTTCAGCTACAAAGGACCCACAATCTTTGCACTGCAGGGGAATAAAAGCAATTTATTTTTCATGTTTTATATGCAGGATATTAAAAGTTGCAGGCTTACATCTGAAATTTAAATTAAAACAGTGAAAACTTTGTTCTTAGGTATCCCAAGCAGAATTTGTGTGCCAAGAAATCCAGTGAAACTTTCCTTGAATCGTTATAATGTAAACTGGAAAGAGACCGAATTACTGAAGCAGTTCTTTGCAACTGCTGCATGTAATGGCTCCCTGACTGTGCCAGCATCAGCCCCAGCTGTGCTCAGGAAGCTGTGGCAGCCAGGCAGAAACCACAGATTTGCCCAAAGCCCCATCCTTTGTCATGGATTGTGTGAATTCTCCATCTGCTTCTTCATACAGAAGTCAGTGAAGCTGTTGCAAGAGTTTAATTTCATCCTAGGACAGGTACAGAGGGCAAAGAGGTATATAATAATTCTAAGGAAATTCTCCAGTTTCTGGTTTTGGGGTTTTTTTCATTATTATTTTTCAGAAGAAACTACCAGCTAAGAAACAAACCATTAAAGAAGTACTTGAATCAATTCAGATTGCCCTCCTAAAGAAAGCTGTTAGTCAAGTACAAGTTATTGGGATCCATATAGGGGCAGCTGAATTAAGTTCCACATCTTACATTGTACAGGAGTGCAGACTAGGCAAAGTGAAAACTCTCACTGTCTTGAAAATCTATTAATCTGACATTTTTAATCTTCAAGGAAGCACCGCTTTCTATATTGGTAAGTAAATAGTATGAAGGAAACAGTGTAATTTAATGCCCATATAAAAGAAGTATCTCTTTAGCAATAATTATGCCAACCATCACCATTATTCCTTTGGGTTCATAATGCTGATTTATTAGAAGGGCTGAGGCATTCTTTTCTTACCTTCAGAAATACAGCCATGACTGCTAATCCATCTGACTGACGAGCTGCCTCAACAAAACTGGAATACTTCTCTGAGTTCCAATGGACCACATGAAGCTGAAAAGCAAGAGACACAGACAGCATCAACTCCTGCTGAACTCAAATAGTCACAAATTAATACTACAACTTTACTGGTTTTGATATTCTACTTTGCTCTTTTGTATTCAGAGCCATTCAGTTTTCTAAATGCAAATATTTCATGAGATTGGTAAATAGGTAGTTCACACAAATGGCAAAAGCATTTCCAGTGGCTGGGTTTATTCAAAATTTAGCCGCAATCAGCACACGACAATGCCTGGCAAACTGCTGTTGGGTCCCCAGATTTCAAACAGAGAAGCTAAGACAAGATATCCCATGGTTACATAACTAAAGCTTTTAAATCCATTTTTAGTACAGCTGATTTTAAAAAGTGATTGAAAATCATGAGGACGTCACTAGTATTTTGCTCCTCTTTTTCTTTAATCAAGCTTTCAGTAACATTAATCAGCCACATAAATAGCTAGAAACAGGCAGAGAAACACACATTAAACTTGCACTGACCCCTTTTCCCTTGTTTAGTTTAAGCTGAACTTCAAAATTTCATTTTTGATACCTTCCAATTGTCATTTTCTATTATTACCTGTAGTTAGGCACTTACAAGCAGCTTGATTATCTCAGGTTTGAGCATTTGCATTTCCAACATGCATTATTCTGGAACCATCCTGTGGTAGTTGCTTAAGCAGCTTAAAGACACCACCTAGGCAGGTGGGGAAAGGAAAAGCCCATGACGTCTACCCCCATACCACCTCAGTCCTTCCTGCTAAGCCAGGTTTCCTAAATCCTGGCCACGCTCCACAGCAGGAGCTCCTGGTTCCCGGGAAGTGCCAGGATGTCCCAGCCTTGAGCAATGGTCCGACTGCCAAACCGGAGAGAGCACAAACACTCACACAGCACTTAAGACTAAGTACTTCACAAATATTAATTACTCTCGCAAATCCTCAGTGGATTAGTAAATCTTATTACCCATAGTTTTTAGATATGGCAAGAGAGGCTCAGAAGCAGGGCATGGGACTAGCTTTTCTAAAATCGGTGCCCATCTTTTCAGACTTTGAACTTTAGGAGTGCTGAAAAGCAACTCCACTGAATGACTTAAACTGGGATGAACCCCTGAAAAAAAAAGGCTTTCTTTTGGAACACAGCACTTCAAGACCTCTAAAGTAAGAGCAATTTAGGAAAGCTGGAACTTGCTTTAAAGGTTTTCTATGGGAAGCAACATAGCTGCGTGGTTGAAATAGGGATCTAGAAGTGTGAAGATTTTGACTCTAAATCTCAGTCCTTGCCTAACCTCTATGACTTTCATTTTTCCATATCTGTAAAATGGAGCTCTTACTTGGTGTTACAGAGTATAAATAATGTTTTTTAAGCACTTGGGCTCTAAAGTGCTGAAACATTACTTCGGCAAGTAAGGAATCCCACTGAAATCAATAATAAGGCATGTATGCTCATGATGAAACACATGCTGGCTCACAGCTGCAGAGATCCTTGAAGGAAAGTTGTCAAGAATATTATAAATTAAACCGGCAAGAGAACATAGTCCACTAAGCCATTCTCAGGTGCATTAATATCCTGGAGCTCATAGTGCCTGCACCACTCACTATTACAAGTTCACAGAAGCTACATTAAACAACTTTTAAACAATTACATTTTTACATACACAAAAAGGAAACAGATACTCTCTGTCAGAATTGACTTTTATTGTGGATTTTAAAAAAAGCAAAAAACCAACAAAGAACAAAAAGGAAAATTCCTGCAACTAAATAAAGCCCACTCCTATTCCCTCATAGCTTTGCCAAAAACACCCCAAACCAACCCCTCCAAAAACCAAAACCCCCAAACAAACAGAGCTGTGAAACACTTTTGGGTACAGCCCCATTCTCAATGGCTTGTGACTTCTCTTTAAGGAATATATGCCGTCTTACCACCGCTCTGTCACTGCAGCTTGTGAAGAGACCTTGATCAGACCATACGTTGTCACAAAGAATGGAGCCATGGATCCCTTCTGCTTCCTGGTGGGCTTAGGGGGCCGAACCTTGCAGTCTTCTTTACCTGTATACTAATTCTTTCTTCGACTCAGACGATGCTTTTTCTTGAAATCTTACACATCTTCCTTATGAAGGTGAGCACTGAAACCATCCTCATGTCTCCTTCTGAGGTATTTTCTTTTGTGTGAACAGTGCTCAGAAGCCTTGATCTTAATTCTGGGCTTCTTATCCCAAAGCCAAAGTGACATCTAGAGAGCTTCTTGTGGAGGGCTACCCAACGAACAGGTGACGGAAAGGTTTTTAGACTGGCTAGCAATTCAGAGATATTTTCTCCTTCCATTTGGTTTCTTAGATGGGAAACATATATATATTTTCTCAGCTAGAAATTTGGTTTTGGTACTTAATGGTTTTAAAGCACCTCTATTAATTCTTTATATTCCATCTCACCTGGTTCCTGTGGAAAACATAAGCCTTTAAACACTGCAAATGTCACTTTTCCCCATTAGTGTTAGAAAACTGATTTTTTTTCTGACCACTATCTCTTACAGCATTTCAAGTAAAATCTGACCACACCACTGTGCATACATTTCATTTTTTTTCTTCTTTATATCATGTCTTTTATTTGTCCATTACCATTTATTTTTATACTTTTTACTCCTTTTTAGCCCCAGAAAACTCTTTTACTGTCTGAACTCTGTGTTGTTAATGAACTCAGCCTCATGAAAATACTCCATGTTACTTCCATTTGCAAAGAGGAATCGGATACTGAATACTTTTTACTGTAGACTACTCAAACGCACTGAAGGAGACAGAGCAGGAGCGAGCTCTCCATGCCAGAGCAGACGGTGCATTTCTCCCTGTGGCACGCTGCCTCCACCGAAACGCAGTACCTCCACATACAGCAGGCACCCCACAGATATTAAGGTGTGGTTCTCAAAGTCATAACCATCACATCGCTAAATGCACCACAAAATGCAACGCTCCTAAGCACTGCATTAACTTTACACTGCACAGGCCCCAAATCAAATAATTCTGTGGTTTTTAACTGCAGGTGAGTTTGAAAATATTCTCCAAGGGAGAGACAGTGAAAGACAACGTTTAAAATAACTCTTGCACATTAAATCTTGCTCTTATCAAGCTCTTGTCTTCTGTACTCCTTTTTTAATCCTCTCCAAAGCTTTCAAATAGGTTCTCCTTTGAGAAAGGACCAAACATGCAACACTTCAGGAAGACCGCTTGTATTTCAATAAAATGGGGGGAGAATGAAAAGCGGGAAGAGGAGGGGCAACATTATTCTTACCATGCAAAACTAGTCACAAGCTGAGGTACAGATGACTCCATGTAAAGCCTTACCTCTGCCGCGTACTTCATCCCATCCACCGCGTGCTCGGAGCCGGCTTCGTCATTGGACCCCCAATGGAAGTGAATCTGGCGCAGCCTGTAGGTCCCGCTGAGCGGCCCCCCGGTCAGCACTGGAAACCCAAGCAGAGGAAAAGGCTTCACTGCAGGAATGGGAGCCGCTACGCACATCCTCTAACCTCACACCAGACTTCAGTCTTCGGACAGTCCCCTACTCCTCCTCACAAGCTGTCTCAGATGGCTTCCCATTTCTTTGAAGTACTACAGAAACCCTCACTTGTCCAGGATGTGACTTTCAAAATTGCATTTATGTGTAGATTAGTGGGTTATGGCCCACTAAAGGGTATGGTGTTGTCACAGGTTTGTCTTGCTGTGGGTTGGATATTTCTCAGTAGATGGGAAAATGCTTCTGTTTTGCAAGTGGTTTCCTCTCCTGAATTTATTTAAAAGAATCACTGAGAAATTAAGCTTAAAATACAGGTTTTATGAACAAAGGGGAGGATCAGAAAAATATAATGTGAACATAATTTCCTCTCCTTTTTGAAAGTTGGAGGAAAGTAGGTGGAGCTTAAAAAAATTTTCCAGGTTCTTTCCTCCATTTGCAACTAGAGCCAGTTACATCAGATTGAAGTCTGAGAAAAAGGAGCGTATACTAACATAAATAAAATGAAGCCAACACTACATATGCATTGTACAACTGCAGTATTACTGACACTTAATTAGCCAGGGCTGGAAGGACTGTCCTATGAGAAGTAGCTAAGGGCTTTGGGTTTGTCTAGTTTGGAGGAAAGGAGGCTGAGGGGTGACCTCATTGCTCTCTACAGCTTCCTGAGGAGGGGATGTGGAGAGGGAGGTGCTGATCTCTTCTCCCAGGTATCCAGTGATAGGACATGTAGGAATGGTTCAAAGCTGCACCAGGGGAGGTTTAGACTGGACATTAGGAAGCATTTCTTTACCAAGAGGGTGGTCAAACACTGGAACAGGCCTCCTTCAGAGGTGATTGATGCTCCAAGCCTGTCAGTGTTTAAGAGGCATTTAGACAATGCCCTTAAAGACGCGCTTTAGCTTTTGGTCAGCCCTGAAGTGGTCAGGCAGTTGGACTAGATGATCATTGTAGGTCCCTTCCAACTGAAATAGTCTGTTCTGTTCTGTTCTGTTCTATTCTATTCAACTTAACACACGTATGGGTGGGCTTGTCACTGTTTCGCTTTTGCAAGTGCTTGTGCCTCTTGCTAATCAGATTTGGAACCAAACCATCTCTGCACAGAGACTTGAATGTGAATCACATTCAGAAAGATTCCTTATTCACTGCAAAACAAATCACCCCACTCTCCCAGCTCTGTATCTCCTCTGGTGGTTTGGGAATTAGTCTGAGCTGGTTTACTGGCTCATTATAGAGATTTTAAGGGGAAAGGATGGGAGCTTTAAACAGATGGTTTTTAAATTAAGAGCACTGGGGAGGACAATAGTCATTTTTTCTCTCTTCTAGGTTTACTCCAAACCCTAACTTCATTAGGAACAAAATACACCAAATAAAGATAAAAGAAGAATTTCTTAAGTTGCCTATCTGCTAACACCAGTAGCCTGGCTAATGAAAAGGAACTGGAACTGTTTATCTGTGGGGAAAAATATTTGACCTCCTTAAAACTTCAACTCAAAAACATGCTTTTACAGAGCCCATAAATCTAGTGAACAAAGGGGATGGGGAAGTGGCACTCCTAAAACAAATTCCTTCTTTCAAGGACTTAAAACTTGGAGGCAAATGATCCTGGAAATGTGTAAGGATCAGTATTCTAACTGGCTGAGGGAAATCAATTACATAGAAATGCATCAGTGTTCAATGAAATACTTCTGCTGAAAAATGTGGAAAATGGCCTGATGGTGTCTTTGTGCCACATCATACAGTGATGGTAAAACCCTTCCATTCCAACAGTAATTAAGGAAGAGGTTAGGCAGAAGCCATTTAAGGCAAATACCAGTATCTCAAAGTTTGAAAAGAGCTGGAAGAAGAGGTCTTTGGAACATCAGTAGATCAATTTCAGAGAATGGAGCTAATGTGGTACCAAAGAGGATAAACAGAATCACACAAACAGTTACAGACTTGACAGCCCAGTTTCAGTGCCAGCCAAAGTGAAGAAATAGTTCATATGGAAGTCAGTTAATAATGCATTGAAAGATGCTAATGTATTTAGTACCAATTAATTTGATTTTTTTTTCCATAAAACCAACATATGGCAGGAGTGCTTACTTCACAGGGGTGCCCCACAGACCAAATTTTGGCCCTAGAAAATTCAGTATTTTTTGATCAATGACCTGAAAGAAAACAAAAACATTACTGATAAAGTTTGTCAGTGACAAATATTAGGGAAAATAGTGAATAACTCAGTTTATGGACACAGAAGGATTTGAATTCTTTGATAAGTAAGGCATGATAATGTCCAAAATGTAAAGCCATGTATGTGGCCTGAAGAATCTAGTCCATACATAGAAGATACAGAGTCTTCTGAAGGAGACTGGGGATTTTATTTGTTATCTGATCAACATCTGTCATTGCTTTGCCGTGACATGAACTATATCCTTGGAGATACGGCCTGAGGAAAGCAGTAAGAAGAGGATCACATTACCACTGCTTTGGTACCAGTGTAGAGCCTACAGAAATACTACGTTCAGGCCCTGTCACTTCATGGATGGAGTTAGAAAGTGGAAGAGGTTCTTGGTGTATTCATATTCATATTTGTTACTTTTTAAAAAAAAAAAAAAAAAGAAAAGGAGTTTAAAGGCTGAGTTGATCTAAGTCATACCAGAAATAAAGTGTGATTTCGATTTTTAAATTGTGAGGGTAATTAACAATTAGAACAACTTACCAAAGGCTGTGGTAGTTTCGTCATCGCTGGAAATTTTGAAATCAAGATTGTATGTTTTTCTAAGAGATGTACTTTAGTTCACCCACGCCTACTAGGCTTGAAGCAGAGATTAATTCTGGGAAGTCCCATGGCATCTGACACACTCGAGGTCAGACCAGATCACTGACGGTCAGCTGATGGCTTTCAGGCAACATCCAATGTTGCTTGTATCGACAGGAAATTTAAGAATTAAACTAAGACTGTCCAGAAAAGCAAAGTATGATGCTCTCTCCACCTATGTCTCTCCCTGTTGCCACTATAAGCTAACTGGTCCTCAGGACTAAAGGACAGGGTGATCACAAATTAGTCTTTCTCTGGCTTTGACCCTTGTGAAAGCATCATATGGGCCTGGTGGGCCTGGATCCTCAGCTAAGCCTTACACAACCACAAGAGGATTTTATTGCTTGAAGAATCTGTGCTCCTACAGTTTCAAGGGGAGGTGTGCTAGCTTGCCTACCATCCAAGAGAAGGTTTTGAAGATGAAGGCACTAACATTACAAAGACTATGGTAAACCAGAGAACTTCTAAATAAGAATTATTGCTTGCAAAAAGGGAAGCTACATACTCCTAGAAAAGACTGGGACAGTAACACTTTTCAGAGAAGAAAAGGGATCACTTGGGACATATTTCATTTGTTCTGTATTGGCTCCTTCCTGACATGAGAAGTCCAAGTATGGCTTGTAAAAAGGGAAAACATATATAACCAAACCTGCAGCTAAAGTCAGATAAGAGACTTGAGCGATTCGGTTGGAATGAACCTGTAATGAGACACAAAGGATTCATCTGCAGTGAGAGAGAGCAGCATTTGAAAAATTGTACACAACACTGTTCAAACAGGGGGGCTGGCGCTATCTAGCTGGTTGGGGTGGATCAAACCAACCCTGTGAAAAGGGAATCCTAGCACTTTCAGAGAAACGCAACCTCAAACTCGTGTCTACATATGTTCCCACATTGTATCATGCTGAAAGACAGGGAAAAAAGGAATCTCTCATCTGGAGGAGCAAAGCCTTATTGTTTACGAGGAGTTCATACTCAGCAGTGAGACATGCCCAGGCTGTACGTGATCTATTCAGGAAATGGTGGAAGAAGACACAGTGCAACAGGAAAGGAACAAACCTGATTTGTTGACGGTGTCATCAAACTCAACACTGGTGGAGTGCCCATTGTTAAGGATGATTTTAGCAGAAGCCGGATCGTAATTGGGATTTAGAGGACGGAGAGAGGGATCATACTTGGTTTCCTCAGTTTTGATGTCGATGGGTGACTGACGGTCTCCATTAGCGACAGGAAAAACCTCCTTCCAGTGGGCGGGCCCTGCAACACATTGAAGAAGCCTAAATTGATGGCAGCGCCCTGCTTCATATGAAAGAAAACTCTACTTGAATTGTTCATGTTTGCATCTTTTAAATTCAGAAAGGGTGCTTCAGAAAAACAGAGATCAAAATATTCAGCTACTTTTGCTGCACCACATTGCAACAGCAGTTCTCAGGATCCCTTTATCTACCTTGCATGGTGTATCTCACTGTATTTGGCCTTTGAACAAGGCCACCTACAAGCTAAATATCTACCTACAAGTAGGTAGATATTTAACTCTTTACAGTTAAGACTCAACTATGCACAAGACATACTAACAAATGCTCATTCAAATCAAGTATTCTGTATCCAACAGGCACTGTGCCCCAATAGATTTTTTACATGCCATTTTTGTCTAATACCATGTCTTATTATGTGTTTAAGGATTACCTCTTATCTATCTGAAATCCCTGCGTTAAAGGTTTTTTTATACCTTAGTCATTGGCTGCAAAAGACCTGAGAACACATCTTCTACTGACTATGCTGAATGAGATGGGGAGATGTCAAAAATGATAAAAAGGCTGAGTGGTGCATGGGCTCTCCTGGGGCCTGATGGCAGTGCCTGTAACCTAAGCATCGCTGCACAACTGATCACCTCCTCCCAGTGCATCAATGCTGCAAACCAGCTGTCACAACACAAGAGTGTCACCCTCTAACCATAAAGTCTACACAGACACCCACATGCACACATACACTCACGCTAGTATAGTGCTGACAACATCAGCAAAGAGCAGGAATACTCAGGACAGTGGTGCCTGCACAAGGTTTGGATTTCTACCACCTCCTGCTGATAAATGAGAGCAGATCTTCCAGACACAGACTTGCACCACCATTCACCAGAGTTAGCTAGAAATTAAAACACTAAAGAAGCTGTTAATCAATACTAGTGATCTCGAGTTAACCTTCCTCTCTCCATGCAAGCTAAGCCAAAAGTCAGCTGAAAAGCATTGTCTCTGTAAATCAACAATATGGATATCAGAAAAATGGCAAATGTCATTCTAAAACAGTAGAAAAGCTTCACAGATGAGACATGTGAGGTGTCTGTTCTTATCTACTAAACATCAGAGGGACCTCGCTAAGAATATATGTGCCACTGTTGAACCATAATTGAATAATAAACAATGTGGAAAGAGGCCATAGAAGAAAAATAGGAACAATAAATTGCTTGGGGAATGTATTCTATAAGGTAAAGATAGCAAACAAGGTTTAGGATGGAAAAGAGGGTAAGGTAAGGGAAAATGGAAAAGGGAAAAGGAAAAATGGAATAGTCTGCAGGGTTATTATAAATAATATTATAAAGAGCATAGCACTTGTTTTTCCTCCAGGCTTAACATGGGTAAGAAGCATAATAAATCAACTGAGAAAGACTGGATGTAAGAAAAACTTAAAAATGATCATCGAAACTGATCTTGTAAAATCTGCATCACTGGAAATCCTCATAACTCCCTATGAACTCCTACCTATGAAAGTAACTGATCTCAGTCTAAAAATCAGCTTGTTGGTTTGGGTCTTTCTGGATGGCTTATCACTAAACACGAGAAAAAAAAGGATAAAACTATATTACGCTGTGATTAATAGCCTAACATCAAAAGTTGTCAGATTGTTTTCTCTCCTCAACTTCAATCAAAGTGAACATAGCTCAGAAAGTCACAGGTGCTAAAAAAACCCAAGCACCCCGGCAGTAAATCAGGGAGGGAAGTGCCCCACGGCGCTCTGGGGAAGCAGCTTGCACGGCCACCTGGGCAGAGACTGATGCTCCTCTGAGCAGCACCAAAAAACGGAAGAGGGAAGGAGTAGCTTGTAAAGACCAGCTTAAGACTTAAACCTCAGGTAGCACAAAGGCAAGGGCCTTCAGTCTTGAGTTTGTTAAAAAGTCCTTTTGTTAATGACTTCATTAACTAAACTCATTAAGGAAACCGCTTCTAAGCAGAAGATAAAAATCCTACTGGTTTGAAATATAAAGCTGTTTAAACTTAATTCTCCCCACTTCACAAATGGTCATAGAGCTATTCAATATTTTAATTATATATAGTAATTTTAATTTATCTAATTTTAATTGTGTTTAGATCCTAGTACCTTGTAGTTAGAGATGCAATGCACAATTTTATTCATAAGAAGCACCACTCCACCATTTATACCTAACTACTGTGGTTTGGGATGCTCAGAAAAAGCTTATTGCTACTTAATTTTAATGTTTCAGACATTCCTTAACTGAGGAAAGGCAAAACATATTTATGTGCTTAACTACTTGGTCCTATTGCTCCATCTCAGAAATACCTATAGTTATTGTACATTAAATAATATGAATTATTTGCATTTGGAAATAATATGAATGTGCCAAAAAGAGGACCCAAGGCTGTGATTCTGTCATTAGCTAATTGTTCAACAATAAACTTCAGTTCTAGAAAGGCATTGTACCTGCTTTGGTACTTGTCCTTAGCTTGGATGACCAAAATCATGTTTTGCTATGGTGATTAAACATCTATCAGTAACACAAGACTGCCAGAAATCTGACCGTTCAAAATACAGAGGAAAATATCACGAAACTTCAGCTCATTTTGTACCACTAGATTATATCAAGTGGTATTCCTTACTAGATTATCTACCAGCAATCTAATACAATTATCATGCTCTTGCCACTCTGGGAAAATTGTGACTCAACTCATTACAACAGACCCCACCCCAAAGCAAACTTTGTGTACGCCTGTTGGAAAATAAGTCATTACAGTTGGAAGAGATGCTCAAGTGCATGTCATACAATCAGATTCAAGCCAATGGTGAAAATTTCTCCAGGGTGAAAATTTCTTCTGAATTTGGACCTGAATTACATGCCTCCATCTCAACATAATGTACACTTTAATTTTCCAGATATGTACTTTAAGACATACCCAGGAAAGTGTAACTCACGGGTTCACATCCCTTCATTTTTTTAAATTTACTGTAGGAACGTGATTAAATATACCAATTTTTGAACTTACGAAATCCCATTCTGTTGATGGGAGAATGTTCTGTTGCTAGAGGACATTACAATCAAAGCCATTGTGACCAAGAGTTAGGACAAAAAACCCGAACTATCTGCTCTGAAGATTGCATGTCTTTATTTTGGACACAGAATTACCGCATGTGATGCATACCTCTGTCACTTTTAGATCAGACTATCGCTACTTATCGTACCCACCAGCACTGCACACATTCATTTCATGAAATAGATCTCATAAGGAAGGCAGTTACAAATTTGTCAGGAAATAGAACTCCCTATAGCACCTAACTTTTTTTTTATACAGCTGGAGTTAAAGATGATGAGTTTCATCAAATGTATAGACTAACTTGAAACAAGCCTAGTGGAGACATTGCAGGATACGGTTCAGTTGCAGTGAGCCTCTATACTTGCATAAATAAAGCATGTACAGGTGAAAAAGTGGATTCTTTTTTTGGACAGTTTGCTCTTATATGCAGAAAGGTCATTAGTTTGGCATGGTCTGACCTTTGCAGGATCACATCCTCATTTATTCCTAAAGAGAAGCCATTGCCCAGTTTACCATATACAAAACGCTTAAACTTATAAAGTTAGGTTTGCCAGTAATTTAGTTGCATATTGGGTTACAATAAGATTAGCTCGAATAAAAACAGTTGGAAATTCACAACGGGTAAAATTAAGTGCTGTTTTTTAAAGCAGACATCAAAATTATGTAATTATTCTCAGGGAGAAAAAAACAGTATAAGGAATTACAGTTGGAGTCGATGATCTTAAAGGTCTTTTCCAACCTAAATGATTCTATGAGTCTACAAATTCATATCCCCTTTTTATTTATAAAATGCCTCAGTGTTAATAGCAGTAACTGAATCAAGAGACATTTTTGCAGTAAAACATAATGCATGTAAGTACTTTCCATACATTTTATTAAACAAATAGTAAACTGAAGGCAATTGATTTGTCTTGTAACTAAGGCAATTCCCCAGTTAACTGAAAGGACTGTTTCTGTGAAGGGGCGAGAACATTCCCCTCTTCACAGGAACCCTGAGCAGCAAAGAAATGCATGCATGATGCCACAGTGAAGCCAGTTTTCAAGATCTCAGTATTATGCCTCCATACATAAGCACCATAAAAACTGTGAGGTAAGAACAGTGGGATGAAAGCAAAGGCCACGGTTTGCATAGAAATAAAATAATGCCTCTTTGCATTTCAGAAATACGTGCATCAAAGCAGGGGAGAACATTTAATTCTGTAAGTCAGCCCATGTCCTTATACATAGATATATCATATACGCAGACATGTATGTGTAATATCTTACAGTTTATTCACATGATGATTTATGTTGCTGTTATTATTGCTAAGGGGCAAATGAGTTTCCCTCCGGTTAAAAAAACAGCGCTTTTATCACTGCAGGTAACAAATGCAGAACTTGGAGTGAATGCAGATGTCTTTCCAACTCTTCAGGAAGTCAACTTTAATATATGACTGCACCAGATTTAATTAATTTCATTTTGTTTCTGCCTCATTAGTTGCAAAAGTTAATCTTAGTTTCAGGGAAACTATTCTCAGGGTCATGCAGGGCAACAAAATTTTTCAGGAATCAGACCAATCTCCCGCATCTGCTATTCAGCCAAACAAGAAGCAAGCAAACCCAATAAAATAAATGCATAAAAAGAGGAAAAGCTGAGAAACAAAACCGATGCTAGGGAAGAGCAGTGCAGTGTTGGATATCCATGCCTCTCTCCTTTAGTCTCCTGGGAAAGGTGGGGGAAGGCGATGGACTGATGAGGAACTACCCACCCTGCAGCTGCTGGGGGCTCCAAGAAAGGAGAGAAACTCCACCCCAGATACGTTACCAGCCAGTAAGCAGAGTTTTATAGGACAAATGGGGCCTTAAGCAAGGTCCAGGGCCACCCTGATAGAAATTCTGGTGCCCTCCCCTTCCTAGAAGTTGAGACTAGCAAAGGAGGAGGGATAGGATAAGGGAGGGAAAGTGGGCCGCTTATCTGGACGGTGCAGGTGAAGTCCACAGCACTCTTGGAAAACATATGGAGAAACAAATTTGAAAAACAAGACCCATTTACGTCTTCAGGGGAGGGGTAGAGTAGACTGCACGACAGCAGATACGCGCCTAATCATTGCAACATCACTGTGATCCACCACCACCCAGTTTTTCAGGAAAAGTACATCCACCCAGAAAAGATGGAACAAAAGGACCAGGAACGAAAGGTAGCACTCACGCAAACAGTATTCCAAACTTGAATAATATACACGAAGCATACTCCTGTAGGCATTAGTATGTGCAAATATATAGCTTTCTCCTTTTACTGTGACGGTGTTTTATTCCTCTGTGTATTATAACAGACAGCACAAGTTATTCCATTTATTTTATCAGAGCTGAGTCTCCAGTTTACAAAAGCATTTTCTTTTCTACTTGCATGACCTGTGAGCCCGTCTGCACGCAGGAGCAGCGTTTGCATGACTTACAATGCAAAACAGAGGAAAGTCTTTAAGCCTGCTGATGAGTGCATCTTGGGACTTCAAAGACCGACGAGATTAAGGAAACCATGAAACGACTAAAATCCAAAAGCACCTCCTCTTAGGTACATAGTTATACATTCAAATGACCAACTCCAGTACCTAGTATTTCCCACCGTATAACAGAAGCAGAACGCCCCCCGCCATCGGAAAGGCGCTGCCGATACAGCAGCTCCGATCATCGTGGCCGTCTAACACTAACACTCGATGCGTACACGCAACTGATCCGCTAGACGCGCAAACCAAACCCCGACAGGGAGCGAGAGACGGACCCGGCTCCGAGCCACCCGCAGCCCGGTACTCGCGGGGGATGCTGCCCGCACGAACCCCTCTCGCAGCAGCCAGCCCCGCGGCAGCCCGAGACAAAAACCTCCGCGGCCTCACGTGGCGCAGCCTCGACAGCG